CATATTGTTCATGATTGTAGAGCTCCCTAATTGTATACCATGGTAATCTGTTTGAAGAACCAGAAGGACAATAAGAAATTGCGCAGTCTAAGAAAGAGACTATTCAATACCAGTGATAATGTATTTACGGAATTAGGAGTCATCCTATGGACAGTTTGTGCTTTCCGTCAGGCAACATACACGGACTATAAGTGTTATCATAGACCATATGAACATTTCAACATCAATTAACCTTTTCACACCCCAAAAAAGAAAGAGCAATCTATCAATGCGGTGAACATTTTTGAGCTTAGCATACCGATAAATGTTTGCGTTTTGAATTATTAAATCCTGATGTGTTATCACTGAGCAAGAAACAAAGGACATGTGAGACTGTTTAGATGTATTGGATGGTTCTAATTTGCAAGCCGCTTAAGGTGTATTCTGAATGTTGTGCTCTTCTGTTGGTACATATAAAATGTTTGTGCATGTGTGACGGCCAGCTTTCTGCAATTTTTCAAATAACTGTTTGGTTTGCAATTTTCTGAATCATGACCCTCTTTTGTTTCAGGTGTTTGAAGACGAGGATGATGCTGCAAAGTACTGTGACGTTCTACAGGGTGGTGGTCAAGGATGTGAAGGAATTGCAGAGTTAGAGGCTTCATCAGTAAGGAAACAAATGGCACGACCTTCGTAAGTACCATCGTTTGGTTGACGACTGATCATACCTGTCCTTGTCTGTAGGTTTTCAACATGTGCCGTCAAATGAAAGCTCTCGCCGTCCTTTTCCGGCGTGGAAGGACTCCTCCAACGCCTCAAAGCCTCGAGCGTGACTTGAGGGCGAGAAACCGGTCACTGGAAGACTAGTATCTTTGGGATACATACACGGTGTAGATATGTTAATTGCATTCTTCTAGCTGTTGAAGCACAGGCCCTATGCCTTGTATACTAAATGGTACATAGATGATTCAAGCCACAAAAAAAAAAAGGGTAAAAAATAACTGGTATATAGATTCAATGATAGCCAAGATGGAGTGGAAGTCAAGTCTGACTGAGTACATATTTAGCTTGAGATTAGCAATCTCTGTAAAACTGAATATTCTTGTAATTATTTACATTCTATTTACAGTGAATAAATGAGATTTTAAGTTACTACTACTATGTATATTCTCAGTCCTATCGTCGTACTGATGCTGCGACGTGAGTACAATTTACTGATGCTGCGACTTTCCTGGCGACGTCAAAGAAAAAACCCTACTATGTGATGACTGAGATTAATGGTTTAGAAAAGTTAATTGATCTGAAGTTGGCTTGTCAGCCTCATGATACGCATAGTATTAGCCAGGAAGAAATGAGGTCAAGTCTAACAGTAGGCACAGAAGTTATCCTGAGATTAGCAGTCTCTGCATAACTGAATATTCTTGTATCCATAATTTACAGTATTTACAACTATTGGATCCTAAGTTACTATTATCTTGTCAGTCGTGTCGACGCACTGACGAATAACACGATACATTAGCAACTTATTAATTGGTCGTGCGACAAGTTCGAAAGAATCTTCCATGAATGTTACCGGGCAGCAGCCAACGCCACCAGAAAAAAGAAAAGAGAAGGAAAATGTCTGTCGTTCAGTGTTGGGGGGTCCTCCTCCTCTCGGTGAGCTTCTCGGTGCGGTACTTCTTGAAGTCGGCGGCGAGGCCGGTGTCGAAGTCGTGCTTCATCTGCTCCGCCAGCTGCCGGAGCACGGTGTCGCCGACGCCCCGGATGATGGGCTCCGGCACGAGCGCCAGCACCGGCGGCAGGTTGAACCCCACGCTCATCTCCACGTGGCCCCGCAGGCTCCTCCGCCCCTCCGGCTGCGGGTACAGCGAGCCCCGCACCGTCAGCGCCAGGTGCGGCGGCATCGCGTCCCTCTGCAGCCCCTTCAGCTTGTAGTCCGTCTGCACACTCATTGATTCCGCCATGAGCTCAGGCTGACGATGATGGTGAGAAAGTTAAAGATGGTGGTGGTGGTGCGAAGAAAGTGGTTACCACTTCCATGAGGAGGAGACTGGTGGCGTGCACGGGGACGTGGGGCGGGTACCCCTCCCCGCCGGACCTGCTCACGAAGCGGACGGCGATCACCGGGCACGCCGACAGGAACATGAACTGGATCGGCACCAGCTGCACGCTCCACTCCTCCTGTCAAAATTCATCATCCGTCGATCGCCACGGAGCTACCGTCAGAGTTGCCGCGCAGTTTCGGAAACGAAAACTTTGGAAGGAAATGTTAAAGATCACTCACGTCGTTGAGTTTGGTGCGCTTGCGCTCGTCGGGGAACACGGCCCCGACGATCCTCGGCCTGTTCATCAGGTACTCGTCGATGGATGCCTGAGCACAGAAAGAACCTCAGGGGAATCAGATCACCTAGCAACCAAGAACCCAAAGCTTATTACTAGCACTGATGACACTGGCAGCGACGACTTACCCCTGGAGTCTCACCCATGGGGATGTCGGTGTTGAACCTGTAGGAGAAGGTGAAGAGGTCCCCGGGGTTGACCTTCTTCTTCTCCGTCGCCTTGCCGCCGTACGATGGCGGCGGCTTCAGAGCGCAACTGGTGATCGCTCTCGACGGCGACGGCGACGGTGAGGAGACGCTCGGAGCAAAACCATTTCCTGATCTTGATCGGAGCGGTGCCGCCCTGACGCCGCCGCAGCCGGTGACCCTGCCTGCACCCGGACGAGCTGTAGCATGCCGGCACGTCGTGAGGCTCGGCAAAGTCATCCTCTCCTCGAAGGATCTTGCTCAGAGGTGGGAGCTGCGAGTTCCCCCTGCTCGATCGCCGGCCGTGCCAATAAGTAAACGAGCTCCACGAGGGCATGGAGCAGAGTTGAGCATTCTTGCAAGTAAGGGCAACAGGGTCCGTACGTCCGGGTAGGCCCTACCTACACGCCGGCCCGTTTCTTCCAGGCCTTGCCAAGAGTTTCCCAAGTTTGTTACAGCGACGAGGTTTCAACGCTCGGCTGCTGCGCTTCAACCGGGATATTTGCGTCAAGCTCAGATCCAGACATGGGCACGTCTAGTAGCAGTAACCCTGCTGTATCTACATGCAGAGGTTCATAAGTTATGTCTGCGTCTCGTGTTGTTCCGGGGAATTGACCCCTGTTTTGGAGGGGAACGGGGTTGTCGGTTTACACGTGAAACCGAGCGGAGGGGTAAACCAAAGCTGAGGAGTCCCCTGCGTGCACGTATGCCCCCGCATGACGACCACGCAAAAGGGAAGGGACACGCGCGCACCGACGCACGGCTCGGCAAGCATACGGAATGCGTCCGTCCGTAGTTCCGGGTGCTCCAAATTAAAATGGTGTCCTATTTTTTCCTATAAAAATGGTGTCCTATGTAGAGAGATAAAAGCCTTTGCGTTCTTGAACTGTACTGTTTCTTTCAGTAGTTTACGCTCCTAGAAACTGTGATAAAGTGGGGGACGCCCTTGCGGCGTTCAGGTCGAAGATGGTCACCCCACCGAACCCCAAGCCATATGGCCGGGCGGTGCTTCTATCTTGAGTCAATCGCACCGGTGATGCTTGAACTTGGTGTAATCGATCAGTTTGATGCTAGAACTTGTGGTGTGCATTGAACTGGTGCAATAACTTGGATCGGCTTGTGCAAATACAGTCCTAATCGTGTTTGGATACAAAATCAACGCTGCCTTGGCGGGCCAATGTGGCACGGGGCCCGCTGTCAGTGACATGTAGCGTGTGACCTGTTTTTCTTTAAAGAAAAACCTTGGAATTTTTATTTCTCACAAAAAAGATGCTCACAGCCGCTACACTAGCACGTTCAACAAGGATAACATATATCAATGTAGCATAGGGATATTCGCAAATGATAAAATGCAGTATAGTGATGATGCATGTGGGCCTTAAACTGGGGGCGCATAATGCGGCCCATTTTGCACGCACTAGTTCCTTTTGAAATATTTGTAAAACGTAAGTAATACAAATAAAGTTGAAAATATTTGTGTGTTATAAATATTATACATACAAACGATGATTAGTACTACATAAAAACATTTAAATATACACACATGTATTATATAATTGTTTTTAGTAAATGTGGGCAGTTCAAATGCTTAGTGAATATAAAAAAGAATACACTTGCAGCTTATATTTAAATTATTCAAATTGATGAATATAAAAATTAACTAAATATTTATGAATATTCACTTGTGACTTATATTAAAAATATATAATTTAAATATTAGCACGACTGAATATTCATATGAGCAGTTTAAATCTTAAATATGAGTATTTTTAATTGTACAAAGATCGAATTATACAGATGTGTGTATAATTATTGAAATATTTGTCAAATTAAAATAATATTTATGAATTGCAATGTTGAAATATATATGCATTTTTTAAAATTATACAAACATTTTAATAATTCACAAATATTATTTTACATATATATGTATATATTTAAAATAATACGCGAACAGTTTAGAAAAGTAATTTATTTCGTTTGTATGTATATAATAATATTTATACCTCACGAATATTTAAAGGCTATTTTTGTTACTAAGATTAGAACTTACATTACCTAAAAATTTCTAAATAAAACTAACAGGAGCAAATGGGGCGTACAGACGGCAACCCATTTCAGCCCCACAAGCTCCTCTATCCGACTATTCTAACAAAAAAGCACCTCTATATTTAAGATGTTTTTTTCTTGAATATGCATGAGTGTGCATACTATATTATAAAGAAGGGAACCAGGTAAAGAGCCCTTTCACGTTAGTGTTACAGATTACATATATACATAAACACCAACACCACTTCCACTGTCGATGACTTGCTAATTGCTCATTGTAGCTCACCCCTCCACTTCGGCAAAGAACCTGTCTGTGCCTCCCTTTAGTAGTCCCGCTCGCTTCCACACGGCCCTCTCTTGCGACGGCGAGGATAACTAGATTCTTGGATGGCGTGGCTCCGTCGAAGATGATCGAGTTGCGGTGCTTACACAGTTGCCACATAACTAGGATAATGATCGCATTGGCATCTCTCTTAGCCCGTCCTCAAAGGGCATGCAGTCTTCGTGCAATGCATTGCACTAGCATGAAGTTGTCATGGATGGATCGTCCTCTGACGAAGGCGCTTTGGTGTTTCCCCACTATAGAAGGCAGGTCATCCGCAAGTCTTGTTGATAGTGTCTTGTCAAAGATCTTGATCGCGCCATGTACTAGGCTCACCGGCTTGAAATCTTGAATGTCCACCGCACCATCCTTTTTAGGGAGTAAACAATTGCCTTGTTAATGGCTGGCAGGGCACCCCTCATGTCACCTTGGTAGAACGCTTGAAGTGCCCTCATTAAATCACCTTTTATGACATGCCAGCATGATGCATAGAACCGCCGCGTAAATCCATCGGGCCCCGGTGCCTTGTCCATGGGCATGCTCTTCACTATTTTCTCCACCTCCTCCATAGTGAAAGGTTTTTCGAGGTGAGCCAGGTTCATGTTCGGCATCTGAAGGAGGCTCAGGTCGATGGTGTGGGCTCTCGGAGGTGCGCCAGCAAACACACTTGTATAGTAGTTATCCACCTCATTGGTGATCTCACCGTGTCCGCTTGCAACTGTGCCCTCGGATGGTGGTGATCATGTTCCGTCTTTGCCTGTGACATGCATGTTGGTGGAAAAAGCTGGTGTTGGCATCTCCCTTGCGTAGGGAGAGAATCCTTGATCGTTGTCGCACAATTGTTCGTTCCAGGGAGCATAGGCCAAGGAGTTTCATTTTGAGTAGGCGCCTTAGGTTGTCCTCCTGCTCCGAAAGTGCCCTATTGTCCATTGACTTGTCAAGGCAAGAAATGACCTCCATGGCAATGCCAA